CCTTAATTTTCTTAGCTACTGTAGTTTTCAATCAGATGCTCTGTATTCCTTTATGTGGTATATAAGTGTATAGCCAAATTTCCTTCCTAATTATAGCTGTTCTAGATGGTCCCTAGTTGCCTACAATGGTCTCTTAGACTAACAGAGTTAGGAAGCTAATCATATATATGAAGAATTCTCTGAAAAGAATAGATTAGGAAATAAATAATTCAAATAACATAATTCTGGTGATAGTACAGTGCTGCCATCACTTACATATTGTACTATAGCATGAAATGTCCATTTATAAACCATTAGGCTTTCATGTGTCAACAAAACCTATGTTGATAGTTTTGTACAATTGGTGGATTATATGACAAATTAATTTATAATAATTTTTTTATATCAAAGCCTACATTTTAATTCATGTAGTGGCTCACTGACTTTACAAACTCCAATGGGCCAAACTGTTCTTATGGTTAAAAATCCTTATGAAAGATCCTAGGAACAGGATTAGATGCAAGGGACTGGTTTTACAATGAAATTTCTGGAAAGCTATGTTTCTTCTTCAAGTGATGTCCCCGTGGGTGCTCCATTGTTGGTGATGCAAAGCTCCATTGTTGGTGATGCAAATTTAAAAATTTGGTCAAGGGTCTGCCCAACCTTCCCATGTATTCAGTGCCAACAAACCAGTATCACCTTTTCGTCCACAGACTATGTCCCTTTTTCCATCAATGGGACTTCATAACATTGGATCAATGGGTTTTGGAAATTATCAGTACTGAATACACTATTCCCTTAATTCCACTTACCCCATCCTTCCTCCTATCATGTCCTTCTTCAGGGACCCCTCCCATGAGACTCTTATCAGACAAGAAATCAACCATCTCATTCACATAGGGACAATAGAGAAGGTTCCCAATGCCTATCAAGGAAGGGGTTTTTATTCCAAATACTTCCTGACCCAGAAGTATCCAGGTGGTTGGAGACCAATATTAGATCTCTGCAAATTAAACAAATTTCTATGCAAACAGCAATTCAAGATGCTTACACTGGCATCAATTATTCCAGCACTGGATAAAGGGGACTGGTTCGCAGCCCTCAATCTACAAGATACATATTTTCATGTCACTATACACCAGCTCCACAGATGCTGTCTCTGATTCACCATGGGTGAGGACCATTTTCGGTACAGAGTTCTCCCCTTCGGTCTATTCTCCACCCCCTGGGTCTTTTCAAAAGTCCTGGCAGTGGTCACAGCTTACCTTCAGTGGCAGGGAGTCATGTTTTTTTCCTTATTTGAACAATTGTCTTGTAGAGGGTGATTCACATGCAGAGGCAGCTGCCATGATCTGGAAGACCAAGCACTTATTCCATCATCTGGGGCTCCTTATAAATGAACAGAAATCAACTTTGGATCCCGTTCAGGACATAAGAGTTCATTGGGGCTCGTCGCGATTCTTTATCTGCCCGAGCTTGCTTACATCATATCATCGGTTTGTTTCACTACAAGACCTGGTGGCCACATTGTCTGCAAGTCCTTCCACCACAGTACTTACCTACCCAGTTGATGGGTCATATGACCACCTCTATTTAAGTTGTTCAGTATGTGCGCCTTCACTTTTGCACTCTTCGGCATTGGCTGGCGTCAGTCTACACGCTGTCCCGCCACCCACTTCACGAACTGGTTACCGTCCTGAAGAAGGTACTAGATTATCTCGAATGGTGCACATTATCCAACAACTTTCTTGCAGGCATTCCTTTTCACCAACCCAAACCAATGGTACAGATTATAACAGACACCTCCCTACTAGGCTGGGGCACACTGCACAAAGCCATGTCACACATCAATCTCCTTGAGCCATGAGGAATGCATGCACACACTTAGCTCCCAACATTACCAACTGCATCGTCCACATACACACAATATGATGACCATGTTCTATATAAACAGCCAGGATGGTGCCCATTCCTGATCCCTTTGTGCGGAGACCATCTGTTTATGGAACTGGTGCATTAGCCACAGACTCACATGAAGGGCCTCATGTCTACTGGGTGCAAACAAAGTAATCGATGATGCTTTGATCTGCAATTTCTCCATTGACCATGGGTGGGAGTTGCACCTAACGGAACTTGCCTCCATGTTCCACTGATGTGGTTCTCCTCAGTAGACCTTTTTGCCACTCAGTGCAATGCCAAGTGTCCTTGCTTCTGTTCCCACGCGGGCCTTGTCTGATGCTTTGGAATGAACCATTTCCACTATGTGTTTCAACTGATCCCGCTTATTCCCAGGATCCTGCGCAAGATTCACTCTGCTGGGGCACAAGTCATCTTGATAGCCCCTTTGTGGTCCAGAGGGTCCTGGTTCCCATACCTCCTGTGCATCTTAATAGAGCTACTATATCAGTTTCCTCACCGCCACAACCTCCTCTTTCAGAATCGGGGGACTGTACTCCACCTTCAGCCTCATACTCTTCACCTGCATACGTGGTTCCTATCTGGTTTTGTGGGCCTAAATCCCAATGTTCTGAACCAAGTGAGATCTGTTCTCCTTCATAGCAGGGGGCCATCAACCAGAATCACCTGTAGAAATGGAAGCAATTTTCTTCTTGGTGCCAACAGGCACATGTTGATCCCTGCACTGCTCCACTTCACTGTATCCTTGACTATTCTGTATCTAAAGACTTGGGGTCTATCTGTTTCTTCCGTCAAAGTGCATCTGGCGGCAATAACAGCCTTCTATGACCAGGTTGATGAATCATCTCTCTTTGCACACCCTACTACGAGAAGATTTCTCAGGGGTCTCCTGAACCTCTACCCCCCACACAAGGTCCCAGCACCCTCATGGGACTTGAATTTGGTTCTAAATTGCCTTATATAACCAGCCTTTGAACCCATGACAACATGTCCACTGCCGTTCCTTCTGATGAAGGTGCTGTTCTTGATCGCCATCACCTCCACCAGAACGGTCAGCAAGATCAGGGCTCTGATGGTCTGCCTTCCTTACACAGTCTTCTCAAAGGACAAGGTGACTTTGTGTCCATATCCTATGTTTTTACCTAAAATTGGCACTTAGTTCCACATCAACGAGCCCATATTTTAACTTACTTTCTTTCCGAAGCCTCCAGAGAAAGGATGTTTCATACTCTAGACCAGGCATGTCCAAAGTCCAGCCGCAATTGGCCCGTGTTC